ATCCCAAGAGGGTTTCCAAGATCGCCGAAGATAGCTCAAGATGGTTCAAGGCAGCCTCCAACATGTATCCAATTGGCCCGAAGGCCGCTTCAAGGCGGCTCCAAGTAGCCGCGGAGCCTCCCAAGGAGGCCCCCAGGAGGCCAACATTTTTCAAAAACACTGCGTTGTTCAATGTGTTTTGTCTTTTCGCTTTTGCCTCCGATGGGATCTTGAGGCCTCATGATGGCTTCAACATGGCTGAAGACGGCCCCCAAGAGGGGCCCAAGAGGGGCCAGACGACCCGACGAGCGCCCTCGAGCGCCCCAAGAGACCCCCAAAAGGCTATTTGAGATCTCATCTCCGACGGGGGGGCAGAAATCGGCGCCCCCCCTCTTTTGATCGATGGCCTCCAAGATGGCCCCAAAAAGACCCCCAAGGATGCGGTTCACTGCTGCGCCGCATGCTGCCCCAAATCCCTGATCAAGGCAACTCGACTGGCGTCTCTTTTTGGATTGGCTGGTAAGGATTTTTGGTCAACAGGCTCGCGAGGCGGGTCGAAAGCCGTCCGAACACTAGTCGGGCCGCGACCAGGCAGCAGGAAAAGAAAGGCAAGCGAAGCGAGCGAGCGGGCAGCCACTCAGAAGGAGAGCCAGAACCGATACTCTCAAACCCGGTCGGCTGGTCAGGATACTTTTTCCCCACATGTTTCGTGGGGTTCTGGTTTTCTTCCCTGCCGCGCCGCACCCGCGTCTCACACCTCCCCCCTCCCCTTCTCCTTCTCGCACAGCACAGCACAGCACAGCACTGCCCAGCATAGCTCAGCACAGCTCAACTCAGCTCAGCTCAGCCCAGCACAGCTCAGCTCAGCTCAGCACAGCACAGCACAGCACAGCACTGCTCAGCATAGCTCAGCACAGCTCAACTCAGCTCAGCTCAGCACAGCACAGCACAGCTGAACAGCACAGCACAGTACAGCACAGCACAGCACAGCACTGCTCAGCACAGCTCAGCACAGCTCAGCTCAGCTCAGCACAGCACAGCTCAGCTCGGTCGTCCAGGCCGTAGCAGGCGTGGCACTTTCTCGATACCATAGGGGGTGCGCAGGGGGTGGTCCCCCTATCCGCGCCGGTCGTCCAGGCCGTAGCAGGCGTGGCAGTTTCTCGACGCCATAGTGGGTGCGCACGGGGTGGTCCCCCTATCCGCGCCGGTCGTCCAGGCCGCAGCAGGCGTGGCAGTTTCTCGACACCATAGGGGGTGCGCAGGGGGTGGTCCCCCTATCCGCGCCGGTCGTCCAGGCCGTAGCAGGCGTGGCACTTTCTCGACACCATAGGGGGTGCGCAGGGGGTGGTCCCCCTATCCGCGCCGGTCGTCCAGGCCGTAGCAGGCGTGGCAGTTTCTCGACGCCATAGGGGTGCGCACGGGGTGGTCCCCCTATCCGCGCCGGTCGTCCAGGCCGTAGCAGGCGTGGCAGTTCTCGACACCATAGGGGGTGCGCACGCACGGGGTGCAGGACTATCCGCGCCGGTCGTCCAGGCCGTAGCAGGCGTGGCAGTTTCTCGACGCCGTAGGGGGTGCGCAGGGGGTGGTCCCCCTATCCGCGCCGGTCGTCCAGGCCGTAGCAGGCGTGGCAGTTTCTCGACACCATAGGGGGTGCGCAGGGGGTGGTCCCCCTATCCGCGCCGGTCGTCCAGGCCGTAGCAGGCGTGGCAGTTTCTCGACACCATAGGGGGTGCGCACGGGGTGGTCCCCCTATCCGCGCCGGTCGTCCAGGCCGTAGCAGGCGTGGCAGTTTCTCGACACCATAGGGGGTGCGCACGGGGTGGTCCCCCTATCCGCGCCGGTCGTCCAGGCCGTAGCAGGCGTGGCACTTTCTCGACACCATAGGGGGTGCGCAGGGGGTGGTCCCCCTATCCGCGCCGGTCGTCCAGGCCGTAGCAGGCGTGGCAGTTTCTCGACGCCATAGTGGGTGCGCACGGGGTGGTCCCCCTATCCGCGCCGGTCGTCCAGGCCGTAGCAGGCGTGGCAGTTTCTCGACACCATAGGGGGTGCGCAGGGGTGGTCCCTATCCGCGCCGGTCGTAGCAGGCGTGGCACTTTCTCGACACCATAGGGGGTGCGCAGGGGGTGGTCCCCCTTTCCGCGCCGGTCGTCCAGGCCGTAGCAGGCGTGGCAATTTCTCGACGCCATAGTGGGTGCGCAGGGGGTGGTCCCCCTATCCGCGCCGGTCGTTCAGGCCGTAGCAGGCGTGGCAGTTTCTCGACACCATAGGGGGTGCGCAGGGGGTGCTCCCCCTATCCGCGCCGGTCGTCCAGGCCGTAGCAGGCGTGGCACTTTCTCGATACCATGGGGGGTGCGCACGGGGTGGTCCCCCTATCCGCGCCGGTCGTCCAAGGCAGAGCAGGCGTGGCACTTTCTCGACACTTAGGGGGTGCGCAGGGGGTGGTCCCTGAGCGCGGCCGCTATCCGAGACGGTCGCCCAGGGCATAGCAGGCGTGGCACTTTCTCGACACCATAGGGGGTGCGCAGGTGGTGGTCCCTGAGCGCGGCCGCTATCCGAGACGGTCGTCCAGGGCATAGTAGGCGTGGCACTTTCTCGATTCCACAGGGGGCGCGCAGGGGGTGGTCCCTGAGCGCGGCCGCTATCCGAGACGGTCGTCCAGGGCATAGTAGGCGTGGCACTTTCTCGATTCCATAGGGGGTGCGCAGGGGGTGGTCCCCGAGCGCGGCCGCTATTCGAGACGGTCGTCCAGGGCATAGCAGGTGTGGCACTTTCTCGACACCATAGGGGGTGCGCAGGGGTTGGTCCCTCACCGCGGCCGCTATGCACGACGGTCGTCCAGGGCATAGCAGGTGTGGCACTTTCTCGACACCATAGGGGGTGCGCAGGGGGTGGTCCCTCACCGCGGCCGCTATGCACGACGGTCGTCCAGGGCATAGCAGGCGTGGCACTTTCTGGACAAAATACGAGGTGCGCAGGGGGTGGCAACGGCCACCAACATCATTCTTACATGCTTCACTTCAGCTATCATCACTCCAGCCGTAATATAAGTATGTGGGGTTCCTCGGCAGCGTAATTTTCTGCGGCCCGCAAGGAGGAGAAGTCCAGAGGGCGTGTCACTAGGCAATGGGGCGCAAAGCCAGATAATTAGAGCTGCAGAAGACCACTGAACGAATGTCAGCGGAAGCCAACGAGGAGGTGCCCAGACGGCGCCAGCTCGCAAGCGGAGTTGCCACAGACTGTCGGCAGACTGTACACAAGCCAGTACCCACAGGTGGGGAGACCTGACCAGCGGCCTGTAAGGAAAAGCCCAAAAAGGCTGGTCAGGATACGCGAAGCGTTGAGAATTGGACGGGCAGTCTGCGAAGAAACGCGGCGAACGACGCCAGGGTAGCGATTCAACATTTGACACGTTGCCATCAGAAGCCAATCTGAATCAAGCCTCACGACCGCCGCGGGCGGGGGCCCGCGAGGGCAACGAGGAGCCCGAGGAGCAAAGGGCCCTTGGAGACATCCAAGCTGAGGGTCCAACGAACCCGAAGAGGTTCCAATAGAGGCATCCTAAATGGGATCCGAGTGGATGGGGTCGGAGGATCGCGCCGCCGCCGTTCGGCGTGGAAAAAATCGGGCTCCACGTCGAATTGCACCACCGATGCATCGACGATGCGGTGCGACCCTCCGACCGCATCTACTCGGACCCCTCTGGGAGGCCTAGATCCAAGAGAAAGAGAGAGAGAGAGAGAGAGCCACTCAGGAGATTCCACGAACGGACTGCAGGGACGCGGATGGTGCCCTCCCCGGATGCGTAGCCTCAAGACGCGCAGTAGACTCAAGGAGTCGTCCAAAGTGCATGCGAGAATCGTCCCCCCCAAAAGGAGCAAGCGCGGCTGCCATGCAACGACGCAGCCGCGCCGCGCTGTAACTGAAGGGGCCCTGGGACACACAAAAAAATACACACAGATAACAGGATTCCCCATGTTTTCCCATATGTTCTAAGTTTTTGTCTTCCCCCCACTTCCCATATTTTCCCATATTTCCTGGGAATCGACGATTAATTGTGTCTGTGTGTTTCTTTCCCTCCTGAGTAACTTTGCATCGCTGCCTTCCCGGACGCGGGGCGACTTTCCCATCCTTCTCCTGGCTATGGACCAACCCGCCTCCATGCACAGCGATGGGAACAATGAACTCCCGTCCCACAACGCGAACGGGTCGCGGCCCTAGGGGCTTTCCCTTTCCCCCAGTTCAACGTTTCTTTCTTCGGCGTTTCGACATTGGGCGGAAAGGGGTGGGAGGGGGGGGGTATGGCTCTGGACCTCTGCTTAGTGCGACTGTTTGCAGCAGTGCGTCCATCATGGGGGAGGCTCCACCTGATCGAAACGGGCGCCCAAAAAGCAGCCAAGATCCACTCCATGGCGGGGGGGTGCGAGGGCCCGCGCGCATCGGCAAAACAATGAATAAAAACGATCACCAAAACAAGCTTATCATTCGAGCCGTTTTTTGCCAGTCCCGGGGAGGCCCCGTTGCCCAGAAACAGCGAAGGATCTCCGGGCACCCCTTTTTCGAGGGGCGCAGTTTTGGAGGGGAACCAGCTCAAAGGAGGGAAACGTCGAGCTTCAATCAGCGATACCTCGCCGATAGGTCGGCGACAGGCCCCCGATGGAAAACCGCGCCGTGCTGGGCGGGGTGGGCTACGTGGGCGTTTTTGTTATTCATTGTTCTGCCGATCGGCGCGGGCCCTCGCACACCTCCCTACCCCCCCCCATGGAGTAGATCTTGGCTGTTCTTTGGCGCCTGCGCCTGTTTCGAGCAGGTGGAGCCTTCTCCATAGGACGTTCGGTCCCCAACAGTCGCACTAAGCAGAGGTCCAGGGCCAGACCCCTCCTTCCCCTCCCCCTTCCGCCCAATGTCGCGATCCTCGGGCGATTGGGTGTCCCGGGATCCCCCCCGGAACCCGGCCCTCCCCGACGTTGCCCCCTGGTGCTTCCCCCCTGGGCCCCTTCTGGACCTCCATGCCGGCGATCGGCCCAAGCCCTCTCGGCACCACACTATGCTTAGGTCGGGCATGTCCCCCTACAGGCGGATTGTGGACGAAAAAAAAAAAATCAGAAACAGTCAAAAAATACCAAACACAAAATCGTCCCCATACTATTTTTTAAAACTGGTTTTTGAATTTCCCCCCTGTAGAGGGACAGGCCCGACTTGACACTGCGCGCTCTGCTCGCGCGGCGCCCTTTCTCGGCGGGGCACCGCCGGGCCTCAGCGGGGCGGCCGCCGGGCGGCGGGCGGGGCGCGCCCGGCGCCCCTCACAGGAACGCCGCGGGGCGGGTACTCGGCGGGCCGCGCCCCGTTGCCAGAAGGGCCTCGGGCGCCCACCCGCTCCCGCACCTCCTGCACCTCCTCCTCCTCCTCCTCCTCCTCCTCCTCCTCCTCCTCCTCCTCCTTCTGCTCCTCCTGCTCCTCCTCCTCCTGCTCCTCCTCCTCCTCCTCCTCCTCCTCCTCCTCCTCCTCCTCCTCCTCCTCCGAATTATGGGAAACCCATAGGTTGCCAGCTTTCCTAGGGGTTTCTGGCGACCTATGGGTTTCCCACAATTCCCAGATCATCTCATGATGCCACATCCAGGCGCGAGCCGCAGCTGCAGCTGCAGCTGCAGCCGCAGCTGCAGCTCGCGTCTGGGTCTCCCATGATTCGCCTTTAGAAGTTATCAAATTATGTACACATTCATCCAGACCTCAAGAGCACTGAAGAAGCAAGACGGAAGTTTTTTCCCCGCTTTCGGCCTCTCGGGGCCCTGCCAGGACCGCGGGCCTCAGGGAAAGGGTCGGGACTTGCGGGCATCCCGCATTCAAAAGACTCTGGCCATACACTAACCCTCTGCCCCTCCTCCCCTCCATCATGCTTCCCTCCCTCAGCTGTGGGCACGATGCGTTCAGCACGCAGCCAGAACGCAGCCAGAGCTCCGGAAAGAGCAAGGACACAGCGGTACAACCCGCTGCTGTGGGAAGTGTGTGCGTCAGTCCACTCATTCCAACCCGAATGCCGTAAACAAGATCTCGATCGCCCACCACAGCGGAAGTGATTCAGCCAAAAAGGACGATTCCTTTCTGCGCCTCCCATCCACACCACACCCCATCCTGATTCCCCACTTCCCATGCACACCCTCCCCCTCCCAGGACCAAACCATGGCAACGAGGAGCTCTCTTGGTGGTCATGTGCGTGGCTCAGGAACGCCCAAACAAAAACACATAAAGAAACGGCCGCGCCTGACTCGGTGCCGCAGTGGATGCCAATAGCATGGATTGGCCAATGTTGCTCGAGACGACCCTCCACCACAAAGCAAGGAATCGAACAGCGAATGTGGCGAATGCGGACCAAGCTGTACTCGGGAAGGTAAACAGCACATACAGCAAGCAGGATCGTAAGGATGAATGGATTCTCAAGGGCACCCTTTCATCCTTGCATGTTCGGCCCATCATTCGCTATCATCGCTAGCCATTTCCGCTCAAAAGTATTCAACTCGGGCGTCCAAGGTCCTTGCACCCTTACCTCGCATCCCTACTATCCTGTTGCGCTGTCTTCGAAATGAAAAAGCCAGAACGGCTCATTCAAGGCGGCTTGCTCCGATGTGCCCAATTGCCACCCTTCCTTTTGATGCCATCCACAGAAGCAGGAAGCGAGAGGACGCGCTCGACCCCAAATTCTGCGTGCAAGCGACCGCGCTCCGGGAGAATGCATTCATCACCGCTTGTAAAAACATGCCGAGCATCCGATCGCAGCCATACGCATGGTCAGACAATCCTGCGCACCCTGCAAATCAATCACTGTGAAAGCTTCGCAAAAAACGCAGAATCGATCCACGGACATTGAGCAAACTTTCATAGAAACCAACCTGCTCGTCTGCCTGCTCGCGGGTCACGGAGCCGGTTTGGTATGGTTTGGTGCAGAGGCCCTATGTATCAGCTTAACCACAAGCACATGTCGCGCATCGGCAATCACGAAGTCAGCACCGCACGAATGGAAAACGCACGCCCAGGGCGAGACCTTCTACCCGCAAGCGCTGCGCATAAGCATGCCATTCATTGTTGGGGGGTCGCGGCGGACGAAGACACGGAACGCACGGAGGTCCAGCTTCCTGGAGAGCGAACTGGGCCGAAAGCGAAGGGTGCTGTCGGGGGGAAGGCTGGAGTTAGCTCGGGCATGTCCCCCTAGAGGCGGATTTTGGACGAAAAATTCAAGATAGTCCAAGCAAATATCCTATAACTATTCAAAAATACTGGAAAAAAACGTCCCCCATACTATTGTTTGACTATTTTTGAATACTCCTCCTATAGAGGGACAGGCCCGAGTCAAGGCCAGGGAAGGAGGGAGCGGAGTGGGCGCACGAGGGGCGCAGAGAAGGACCTGCCAGCACCGCGCGCCCCCCTCGGAGGCGGACGTCCGCCCCGGGCCGCGCAGCACACGCAGGCTGCAGCACGGCGCTCTCCGAGCGGGCATGGCCAGACCGCCTCCGCCGGCGCTCTTGCTGCAGGACGCCTCCGCGTGCGCGTCGCCAGCGCGGGGGCGAGCCGCAGGCAGCGCAGCTCTGCCCGACTCCAGCCGGAGAGCGCACGCCACGGCGCACCGCTGGGCCCCGGGAGGAGGCGGCGTGCCCCGCGGGGAGAGCAGGCCAGGGGAGGCGGGGAGAAACGACAGACGGGCGACCCCAGCGTGCGGGGGCCGGGCGTTGGCAGAACTGGGTTTCGTGGGGCCTGGTGTAATGCTGTGTACTGGGACGCCCCCCCGCCCCGTTCCACTAATCAGAGCTGCCGCCACCCGAAAAACACCAGCTGCGGCAGTCCTGGCTCAACGGTCCTGGCCAACTCCAGGGCTCCGGAGCCCCACCACGACGCGGGTCCCCCTACCTGGGGCCTTGGCTGTACCCGAGGGGGACACGGCAACGGGGGGGGGGCGGGAGCCAGGCGCGCAGGGAGCCCAGACCCCCGACGTCGTGATTCTTGCATGACGTCGACACCCAAGGGTTTCGACCCCTTCCCTGGGACCAGCTTTTCATCCTGAGTCGTTCTTTGACGGTCCCGAGGCCCAGTAAGGGCCCCCAGAGGCTGAAAATGACGGAAAACCTCCCGTCGTGATCTTTTCACCACTCGAGGGGGTCTGGAGGGGGGAGGTTGGCCAAAAGCGCCACCCGATCGCGCGCGAGGGGATCTCCTCCCCCGCCGGCCCTGCCCGCAGAGGTCCACCCCCGCGGCACGAGCACGAGCTCACGGAGGCCCGCGCGGAGTGTCTGCGGTCGGCGCTGGGCCCCGTCTCCCTGTGGCCCACGCCGGGGGAGGAGGGTGTTGTTGTTGTTGTTGTCGTTGTTGGTGGTGGTGGTGGTGTTGTTGCTGTTGCTGTTGCTGTTGATGTTGCTGTTGCTGTTGCTGTTGCTGTTGCTGTTGCTGCTGCTGTTGCTGTTGCTGTTGTTGTTGTTGCTGCAGTTGTTGTTGCTGTTGCTGTTGCTGTTGCTGTTGCTGTTGCTGTTGTTGTTGCTGTTGCTGTTGCTGTTGCCGTTGCTGTTGTTGTTGCGGTTGTTGTTGCTATTGTTGTTGTTGCTGTTGTTGTTGTCGTTGAACTCTCATTCCTGAAGAAAAATTATGGCTGATCCCCCCACCAGTGCATACTACTTTTCTCCATCAAAGTGTCTCCCTCGTCGCTCGTACCCTGTTCTTTGACGAGGAAAAACTTGATGTTCAAACTGGGCCCCTGGTCCCCGGGTTACAACAACAACGGCTCCCGCTTGAGACTTCCTCACAATTTAGCCAGAACCCCCGCTACCGCCCGAGACTTCCTCGCATCTTATTCAGGAATCGCGCTCTCGCTTGGGATTTCCTTACATATTCAGGAGTCGCTCTGCCGGCGCTCTGGAGTCGCGATCTCGCTGGAGACCTGCTTGCAACTTACAGAAGAATAGCGTCCTCGCGTTGGAATTTCTTGCACTTTGCTGAAGCGCCGCGTTCCCGAGACCCAGGCACCCAGGAGTCGCGCCCGTTGTGGCCCCATGTGCATGCCCTTCGTGGCCCCGCTGTCGCCGATTATAACCCCCTCCCTGTCCTACGTGGCCCAGTTACTAACCTCAGTGGCCCCATCGTTGCCTTCTGTGGCCCCGCATGATCTGCCCTTCGTGGCCCCCGCTCGTTCGCGCTCTGTGGCCCCATACGCATTCCATTCGTGTCCACGCTGTCGGCCTTCGTGGCCTATTTCGTGTCCTTCGTGGCCTTGCTGTCGTTCTCTCTCGCTCTCGCTTTCGCTCGTCGTCGCCGTCGTCGTCGTCGTCGCCGTCGTCGTCGACGTCGTCGTCGTCGTCGTCGTCGTCGTCGTCGTCGTGGTCGGTCCCCTGTCCGTCCCTCTTGGGGTCGGGTCGACGGTCCGCGGCCGCCCCGCCGATCAGCGCTGCCGCACATGTATGCATGTATGCATGTATGCATGTATGCATGCATGTGCGCACATGTCGGCACATGTATACATGCGTGCGTGCAAACAGATGTGCATGCATGCGCACATGCATACGCATAACAGACACGCACACACACATGTACACAAGCGTACATGAACATACATGTATGCATAAATGTTTAACTACACCTAAACACAAGCATATATATATATATACTCTTATACATATACACCTACAAATACATGTACATGAACATATACATATACCTATGCATGCATGCATACATACACATATGCACGTTGGGCGAACACACGACCCGAGGACCATCGAACGAAACGCCATGTTTATGCCAATATGTTTACTCGACGCTCGCCACCCTCCGTCGCTCTGTTCGCCCGGGCGGAGCGACGGAGGCACGGCGGGGGCTGCACCAGGGGCTCCAGCTCCAGCGGCGCCAGTCGGCTTGCAAACGCACTGCAGCACCTCGACCCCGCGGGTGGAGGCTCCCTTCCCCCGTCTGGAGGGCCAGGGCCAGGCAACGGCGGACCGTGTTTCGTCCGTTTTGGGCCTCCCGGAGGTTTCTCGTCGCCACGGCTGGATCCACCTCGACGAGGCTCCGCGTACGGATGAGCGCATCTGGGCTGGGCGGGAGAGCCGCCGATGTCTCAGCTGGCCCTCCTCTGACCTGTCTCTCCCCATCCACTCTCCTCGCCCGTGCACTCCTTCGCCTCTGCCGTCTTTCCCATGACTCGTGCAATCCGCAATACATACATAATGTCATCAAAAGAAAAGCAACAACAACAACAACAACAACAACAACAACAACAACAACAACAACAACAACAGCAACAGCAACAGCAACAGCAACAGCAACAGCAACAGCACACACAACAAAAAAGACGCACGAGGGCATAGATATATACATTCATACATAGATAGAGATATATATATATATATATACATATATATATATATATATATCGAAAGAGAGATATGCCAGAACCATCGCGTGCGCTTCGCGCGCGCTGAGGTTCTGGCCGATGTCAATGAGAATTCGCTTCAAACGTCGCTGGAACGCGTCCGAAGGGGTCGCACAAGGACTCGAGCAGGCCTTCCAGAGCCTCTGATTGATCGAAAACGTCCCAACATAGGCCCAACGAGGCGCCACGAATTTGCGAAGGCATCTCAAAAGGGGCCCAAGAAGGCTTGTACAAGACCAACATGACCTTCCAAAGAGGCTCTAACTCTAGACGGCCGAAGAAGGCGCGGCTCCAGGGAACCCCTGGAGGTCCCGACAAGTTCCCGAAGGCTGGATTTGTGTCCTGGCACGATGTTTGCGATACTGGGTCCCGTGGAGGGCCCCCGAGGCCGAAAACGATCGAAAGATGGCTTTTTTTTTGTTCACAGCATCGGTTCTCTGGTGGGAGCAGCTGGGGCGTCCGGTCTTGGGACCCTCTCGAGGGCCTCTTAGGCCGCCTTGAGGCGGTCTGGGAGGATGAGAAGCGGCGCCGTCTGAATGGAGGCGCGGGGGATGCTGAAGAGGTACTGTGGAAAGGAAGCGGAGAACGAGAACGAAACGCGACTCAGAGACGAAACGCACGAGAGAGTGATTGTGGGGGTCGGGCGCAGGGCCCCGGCAAGTGTGGCTCTACGGGCCATGCGTGGGCGATACATCCTCGATTGCTGTGCTCGGCGGAGGAACCAATTGAAGCTCCCCGCCTGCAGCCCTGCGCGAGACTTGAAGGTAAACGAAGCAAGGAGGCGGGGGCCTGGGGAGAGGCGACGAAGGCAACGTGCGCTGAGGGCACACGAAGAGAAGGTTGGAATAAAGGCGGCGAGGTGAGTGTCAAAATCTGGCCAGCCAATCTCACATGCGGAGCACTGCGCCTCAGTTCTGGGGATCTTGAGGGCCAGGGCAAAATGTGAATTCACATTGTGGGGAAAAGCAAAATGTGAATTCACATTTTGGGAGAGAGAGAGAGAGAGAGAGAGAAAAAAGGGAAAATGTGAATTCACATTTAGCAATTTAATTTAGAAATCGCTATGGTTATCAAGGGGCCAGATTGTGAATTCACATATTGGCAAAAAAGGCAAAAAGGAAAATGTGAATTCACATTTTGGGGAAGTCGCGGGACCCGTTCCAAATCTGTCCTAGGGGTCGACAAATCATCGTTTGGGAACAGACGCGACTATCAATCGCACAATCAAGACACACTTTCAGCGTGGGTGCCAGGCGTCCCCGTAGATAAGGGTGCTTTTTTCGCCCGGACTCGATATCTCGACATCTCGGTATCTCGATATCGGAGGGCGGGGACTCGATATCTCGATATCTCGACATCGGGGACGTGGACTCGATATCTCGGTATCTCGATATCGGGGGGGCGGGGGCTCGATGTCTCGATATCTCGATATCGGGGGCGGGGACTCGATATCTCCATATCTCAGTTATCGGGGGCGGGGCCAGGCTGGGACTCGATATCTTGATATCTCAATATCTCGATATCTCGATATCGGGGGACCAAAAATTCCTTATACACGGCCTGCGGGCCCGCTCGGGCCCGCCGGCCCGCTCGAGCGGGGCCTGTCCGCGGCGCGGGGGCGTGCATAAGGAAATGTCAACTTTTCTGAATTTGGGCCAGAGTGGTCCAGGGAGGTCGGAGGGAGACCATGAGGACGACGAGTATGGCAGCAGGGGTTATGATTATCATCAGCAGCAGCATCATCATCATCATCATCATCATCATCATCATCATCATCATCATCATCAGCAGCAGCAGCAGCAGCATCATGATCATCATCGTCGCCATCATCATCATCATCATCATCATCATCATCATCATCAGCATCAGCATCAGCATCATCAGCAGCAGCATCATTACCATCATCAGCATCATCATCATCATCATGATCATCATCGTCGCCATCATCATCTGCAGCATCATCATCATCATAATCATCATCAGCATCATCATCATCATCATCATCATCGTCATCGTCATCGACATCGTCATCCTCATTATAAGCATCATCTTCATCCCGGTCATCATCATCATCATCAACAACAACATCATCATCCACATCCTCATCATCATTATCGTCGTCATCAGCATAATCATCAGAAGCGTCGTCATCATCATCACCTTCATCACCACCACCATCATCATCATCATCATCATCAGCATCATCATCATGATCATCCACATAATCCTGCTCAGCTGTATCACCATTATCGCCATGTACTACCCTCAGCATCGTCATCGTATTCCTTATCATCGTAATCGTCATCATCCCAATCATCATTAGAATCGTCATCGGCATCAGCAGCAGCAGCAGCATCATCGCAACCACCACTGTTCTCATTATAACCCGTATCATCATCGTACTACTCATCATCGTCATCATCATAAGCATCATAACAATCATCACAATTCGCATCAACATCAGCATCCTCGTCCTCCTCTTCCGCCTCCTCCTTCGCATCCCCCTTCTCCTCCTGCATATCCCCAGACATGCTCCTCCGCCTCATGCTCCTCCTCCCTTTCCTCTTCCTCCGCCTCCTCCTCCTCCTCCTCCTTCTCCTCTTCCCCCTGTTCCTGCTTACCCCTTCTCAACCGCCTCCTTCTCTTCCTCCTCCTCCTCATCCCCCGCTTGCACCCTCTCTTCCTCATCATCATCATCCTCCTTATCATCATCACTACCATTAGCATCAGCATCATCATCGTCATCATCAGCATCACCATCCGCAACGGCATCGTCATCCTCATCATCAAGACCATCATCAGCAGCATGACCAGAAGCATCAGAATCCGCATCATCATCGTCATTATCAGCCGCATCATCACCGTGAACACCATCATCAACATCAGCATCGTCATCATCATTATCATCATCAGCATCATCAGCATCATCCCCATCATCGTCGTACTCATCACCATCATCCTCAGAAGCATGCCCATCAGTTTCACCACCATCATCATTATCATCCGCATTGTCGTCGTCGCCGCCACCATCATCATCCGTAGCATCATCATCACACTCAACATCATCATCATCAACGTCCTCAACATCATCACATTCACTTTCATCAGCGTCACCATCATCAGTAGAAGCACCGTCATTATCGTCATCCTCATCATGGTTGTCAGTATCGTCATCGTCATCATCATCAGCATCATCAGCATCATCAACACCATCATCAGCAGCGACAGACGCATGATCAGCATCATCATCATCAAAAGCATCATCATCAGCATCTGTCATAAGAAGCATCATCACAAGAATCCACAGCATGTCCCACGTATTCATAACGATCACCACCATCACTTGCATCATCACCACCATCGTTCGCATAATCATCGGCAACATCGTCAACATCACCTTCGCAATCTGGACTTTCGCGCACCGCTCCGACCCCCCTGGCCTCTTCTGGCCCACCTTCAGACAATGCGATATTTCCGCATGCACGCCCTGCGCCGCGGACGGGCCCCGCTCGAGGGGGCCCATGCGGGCCCGCAGGCCGTGCACGAGGAAATTCCGGCCCTGGGATGGGGGAGGGCGAGGCGCCGCACATCGAGCCCCGCCCCGAACGCCCCCTTCCCCGACATCGAGATATCCCCGCCCCCGATATCAAGATATCGAGATATCGAGATATTGGCTCCCCGCCTGGCCCCACCCCCGATCTCGAGATATCGAGACAGCGAGATATCGAGTCCTCGCCATCGATATCGAAATATCGAAATATCGAGTCCCCGCCCCCCGATGTCGAGATACCGAGATATCGAGATATCGAGATATCGAGTCCCCGCCCCCGATATCGAGATTATCGAGTCCCCGCAATCGATATCGAGACATCGAGATATCGAAATATCGAGATATCGTGTCCTCCCGACCCCCACCGGGACGCCTTGCGACCACAATGCACTTGCACACCACTTCGCCGCCCCATGCGCGGTATGCAAGAACGCCCGCACGCATAAACGATAATGGATGGACGGCGCGTTTGCCCGCGCGGGCAACGCGCGGGCACGAGCCCTCCATGACCGCCAACATTGGATGTCAATCATACCCGATCATGTACATGAACGATATATTGAGCATACATGGGCCGATCAGCCCCCATTGCAGACCCCCTGTTGAAGATCGCTTCTTTCACCCACGTGCTCCGGACGAGCGTTTCCAGAGCACGCTGGGTGATGGCCACCGGGCCAGAACGTCGACCACAAATGTGGGAGCCCGGGCGCTTGACAGGCTCCTGAGGGGTAGAAAAACCAAGCCAGGAAGCACCAAGAGAGGCCGAAGACGCTGCAGGAGGGTCCCGCGACGCCCAAAGGTCGCTCGAAGACGCCCAGGGTGGCCCAGGGACGCCCCAAAAGACCTCGAAGTTGGCTCAAGAAGTCTCCACGAGGCCTCTCCAGAGAGGCACAAGAGAGGCCCAAGAAACAAAAATCTTTCGTACCAGCAATGTCTGGCCCATCCCGCCACCG